CTGCATATGCATGATCCTGCATTATGCTCAAAGAGTGGGACTTTGTTTCAAATTTGCCAGGGTAGTAGCGAAGCGCCTCTTGCTCCTCTCCTTCAGCTCCTCAGTCATGCAGTGCTGGCCTGGCTCTCAACAAAAACGCCGAAGGCGGTGCTGTATGTCCCTTGCTGGCGGGTGTATTCTCAAGATGGCGAAATGTAATGGAAGCCCACAGACGACTTACCCGCACAATGTACAAACAAATCCGAAATTCTCCTTTTACGAGAATAAGTCAGATTATTGGTGGAGGTAATAGTACACCAGTGATGACATATTTATGAATGCAGACATCAATTTTTGCCGATAAACAACTGAAAATGTTACACAATGTCCCTTTAAATGTAAATGTTCCATTCATGGCGCCGAGCAGCGCCGTCTCGCCTCCATCATGTGACAAAGACACTGTGGCCTTCAATGACACACTGGCTCAAAGTGTTTTTACGTTATTTTTCCTGTGATTCATCTATATTAACACATGATTTTGAACGCACTAACTAATGTTCTAGTGTCGTACACTAATGTTGTGATGTAGCTGTGCTGTGGTTAAACATGGTCCCTGTCATCATCAGTTCAGGAGGGACCCAGATGCAGAGCAACAGGCAGGTTGAAGGTTCAACAGAAAATGAGCTTCAATAAAGCTGATGAAGCAAAACCAAACTGAAAACAAAGATCCAAACAGAAGACCGGACACCGGAGCCCTGTTGTTCAAAACCTAGATAAGGGGTTAAGCTGGGACATGCTGGTTATCCTGGCTTAATTTAGCATTGATTCGGTTGTTCAAAAGCAGAGGCACATATGTTGCCATGGAGATTTATTCTGTGCACTTAGCCTGGTCCCCGACCAGGGTAACAACCAGGCTTAGTTTAGCCTGGTGCCTTATCTGTCCAGTCAGCTGTCACTGCGATCGGAAATCAATGTGTTTTACCATCATTTCATGTTCTTATGTACGTATTTGCCTCATTTTTGAACAAAATACATTAAGCCTACAAAAAAAAAGTTAACATTTAAAACATTCTTTTTTTCATAGTCTAATTATTCATGTAATAATATGTTTGTCTGTATATCTAGGTCTATGTTATAGACTATGTTTAATGTCCTTTATGTTGGAACCTGTTTCAATGAGCTGTACTGGAAACAAATTCCACCAGCCTGGCTGTGTGGTCATTAAAAGAATCAATCAATCAATAAGCATCGTCAAGTGTCTTCAATAAAGTCAGTGATGAGGGCAATATATGTGTGTGTTTCTTCCTTCACAATGGCGTGTCCATTTTGAATGAGGTTGCAGGACTAGAGGAAGAGGCACTTATTGTGCGCAGAGCATTTAGACACGAGTGAGTGCTGTGGGACAGGTCGGACCCGTTGCTCCACCATGACGACCACCTGTATGAGCGGTACCGCTTTTCAGGGGGTGGGAACCGCTACCTGTACAGACTGCTGGGTCCGCAAACCCAGCGCCGCACAGCAGGGAGCTGTGCAATGACAGTCATACTGATGGTTTTAGAGCTGTTTTTTGTTTCTCGTTCTTTAAATAGCTGCTTTTATAGCAGGGGGTTGTTACCTAGCTGCTTTGTTTGCAGTTTTTATTAAATAGCTGCTTATAGCAGGATTTTATTTTAATTTTTTATTTTTACATAGTAGCTATAAAGCGCTTAAGATAAAAGCGCTAAGCAGTGTGCAGCTGCTCACTCACCCATTCTAAGACACACGCTAATGCCGTCAGTCTACCACACAGGATGCATACAATATTGGGAGTAATCTGGGGTTCAGCATCTTGCCCAAGGATACTTTGACATGCACATATCCTCTCCAATAAAGGATTAATTGTTGGAATACACATACAAGGAGGTGTATTTGGCATTGGTAGCACATGATTAGTGGTTATTAGGTAGGTATATTCCCAGTTAACTGGACCAATAACTTCAGTGTACTTTACATCAATGAATGAAAACAGGAAGATGAAACCACAATATTCTTTGACCTCGTTTTATTTAGATGAAAAATACTGTAATGAGTCAGTGTCTGCTTTGAGCTGGGAAGACAGAGAGAAATATAATTGATTAATACATTGCATCACAGTCATGTTTACAATGTGCATTAAAGTCACTTACTTCTTTCTGTAGTTTCTTAATTTCCAGTTTCCTTAAGTTTTTTTTTATTTGTCTGTCAAGCTCCATGTCCTGCAGCTTCCTCTTTTCACACTGGAGCTTGACATCTGCCAGCACTATCTGCTTCCTCAGATGACTTGCATATAGCTGTCTGACAGTTTGTGAATTCTGTAAAACACATATCTATTAGCACAGCAATTGGCAATACTCACTATATTTCCAGGCAGGCTGTCAGGCTGTTCAGCATCTGTGTCCTGCTACAAATATATTTTCTATGAGCACCACATCACTGACTTCTAATACATTATGTAGTGTGTACAACTGTTAATTTGTGAAGGGAACTTTAATTGTAATTATGACAGATTCATTTGCGCAGGAAGTGTATATTTTTAGATTAGGATACTTACGCATTCAGTCGGTCTGCAATTGTCTGCCACACATTTTCTCTCTGCTTAATAATTGCTACTGTTTCCTTTTTTAGTTATGTGTTTAACCTCTTCATAAGTCTCCATGATGACACGCTGCTCTCTGGGCAAGAAGTAAGCCGCACGTGTCATCTCCATTGGTGCATCAGTGAAACTGTGATTGACCCACGTGGTCTATTTAAGAAAGCCGTGGACGCGCACTTACCTGAATAAGTTACACCTGGCTTGACATAGCCGCTCCTCAGCCTGGCTTGCCGTTCGAACAACCAATTAAGCCAGGATGGACTGATGAGACTTTGTCCAGCCTCGCTTTTCCACATATCCTGGATTGGTTAATTCAACTTTCGAACAACAGGCCCCAGGCAGGAGACAGAGCAGTGAGCAACACCACAAACATGTGGATGAACGCAGATGAACTGACAAAGAACAAAGGGAAACACACAGGTATTTATACACAGGAAACTAATCACAAGAATGAGACACAGCTGGAGGAGACACGGGCAGAAGGAGGGGAATGAGGATTGGCTGACAACAAGGGTGTGGAGGGGAACACTAGGGTGGAGCAAATGAGACTAATACAGAACAGGTGTGAGGGGAAGACTGTGGGTGCGTCCCAAGTCTCTTATTTTTATAGTGCTACTGCTAGCTCCTCGCTTGAACCAGAAGTCGTTCGAGGTCCGCCATCTTCTAGGCCGTCCCAAGTCTCTTATTTGTGCAGCGAGGAGCTAGCGCTAGGAGTTAGCAGCAAGCTTTAAGCAGCTACGAGCTAGGATGGTTGAGAGGTTCCTAACAGGAAGTCTTTTTCAGCTTGAGGCTCTGACGTATAAATACCCGCCCCCTACATCTGGCTCATTTGAACGAGATGGCGGAGAAACAGTACAAGAGTAAGTACCCGTTACATGCATTCTTTGCAATGAATCGCTGTAATTCACGTACGTACTTCAAAGAGTAATGATATTTCAAGCAAGATTGTTAGTTGCAATTAGGTTTATTTCAGTCACGCGTTGTTCATCGGACTGTCGATGATGTGCGGCTGCTACATGTCCAGAACCACATTTGTCCTGCATGTCGTGTGAATGGAATAATGTTTCATGGCTTGTAGGTAGTCTAACAGGTCTGAAATATGTCTTATTCAACAGTGACTGACGAGGAAATCTACAGGCTCATAGACCTGCGTGTCGAGCACGAGCAGCTCTTCACGGGGGGGAGAGGCACGGCAAAGAAGGCCTGGAGGTGAGTTCAGTTTCATATTTTACCTGAATGCCATTCCACTCACCAGCACAAGCATGTGCACTGAGTGATGATCCAACTATAGTCCTGGATTGCCATTGTAAATCAAGCAAACAACGAAATTGTAGAAAACACCTCTCTGGTGTATAAAAACACAAGACAATAAGACAACAATACAAGACATAAGATGTGATCTGACCTAATGATAAATAAACATCACACACACACACCTGTGTGTGCAATAACATAGTACTGTAAAACCTTGGCACTTTAGCACTAATGTGTGGTCCCTCAAAGTCTGGCCTGTCATGAGCAACATTGTTTGTTGTCATCTCTTTGCTTATTGTATAGAGTTTGTTCTTTGTACTTGTTACTGTTGTTGTCATCTTATTGATTTCAGAGAGATACCTATGTACTTATATTCAACTTAAATATCTGGTGTCTGGGATCATACCAGGGATGCAATAAGTTGACATGTTTCAATCTTCACAGGGAAATAACACAGTTACTGGGTGTGGAGGGAAAGATGTCCCCCGCCCAAGTGTCAAAGAAGTGGGACAACCTTAAGATCCGATACAAGTTGAGATTTTGTACTCATGAGCTCAGGTCACATTCAGATAACGCATTTGTGACTGTTGTTGGATACATAATGTAGTAAATTCTAGTGATTGTATGTCTACATCACACTGACACATCCCTTTTGATATCTTCCAGAAGCAGGCATAGGAGGAGGAGGAGGAGGAGAGTGCACAGCCTGGCACAAGTGGCAGCACCACCACACAGGGGGATGATGGGCCATCCACCTCTGCCTGTCCCCCACCCAAGAGACAGTGGACCACCAGAGGGACAGTGCTGGCGTTCCTCAAGGACCAGGCTGCCAAGGATGACAAGCGTCTTGAAGACATGAAGCATGACAGGAAGAGGTTCTTGGACCTGTTCGAGGAGGTGGCCAAGAAGTTTTGAGTTTGTTTTTTATTTCCTCCTCTTTTGACTTTTTGTGCTGCAGTGTTTTCAGTTATGCTTTAATTTTGTGTTGATAAGTACCTGCCAGACTGCAGTGTTTTCAGTTTTATTTTGTTATATTGATACCTTGCAGTGAAACTGCAGCATTTGAAGTTGGAATATTTATTTTGTTATATTGATACATCTCGCAATACAAGACACATTTAACTTGTGTACAGTGTTATATGCATTCTATGTCACAGTATATTCACGTCTGACAGTAACAATTAAATGGTTAAGTTGTGGACAACAGTCTTGAATCTGTGTTACCTGACATTCTGGATCTAACAATGATTTCAGCCACACAATTGACAGTGTATGCTCACACATTCCTGTTCAGAGTAATGTGCAAAGGAATGTTGCACAACTCAAACTTAGACAACACAGGCAACTAAGGAATATAGATAGATAGATAGATAGATATACACACTAACTGAAACAAAAAAGGCACACTGCCTGTCATACAGTGTGGTGGGCCCGTGTCCCAGGCCTTCATGTCCCCACGGTCTACAGGTAATCGTGCTCCTGCAGCTCCACAGGTTGCACACGAGGAGCCGAGAGCAGCCCTGCCAGTCGGTCTCGCTGGCCATGTCCGCATCGTTACCCCCTCACGGGACGTGGTGGAACCACACCAATGTCCCCCGTTATTGATGGATGTTGATGTAATTTCAATTAGTCTCACCTGGGGGAGGATACAGAGCCACTCTGTAGAGCCTGCTGTTCTTCAGAACTCTGGTGTCATGGACAGAGCCAGGATACCCCACAAAGGTGTTGATGAAGAGGCCCTTCCCATCACATACTGCCTGCAACTGTATGGATGGGAAGAGCTTCCTGTTGAGGTAATCCTGGCCCTCAGGTCCTGAGGGGGTCTTGATGCGGACATGGCAGCCGTCGATGGAGCCCACGCACCTGGAGAACACTGGACTGTTGGCCAGCCGTGCAAAGGTCTGGCCAACCTTGTCCAGTGCTCCGGCGGTGGGCAGACGGATGACCTCCTGGCAAAGGGCTGCTATCTTCTCCACTCCCGTGTGCACCAGCCTGCAGACCGTGCTCTTGGGGACATGAAAGGCCAGGGACACCACACTGTATGATAGGCCGTGTGCCAACCAGTAGAGGGTCACCAATACATGCACCTCATGTGACCAGCCTTGTGTGTACTTTGATGGCAGGATCCTCATGAGGGACTACAGACTGACGCCTCAGTCTGTAGTCCCTCATGAGGTCCCTCTGGCCATCAAAGTACACAGCAAGGACTGGCACATGAGGGTTGAGGCGTGTATGTATTGGTGACCCTTCTATCTACAAAAGACAGAAAGCTGTGTTACTTCCCACACTTCATTTCTTCATGCAATAACAACATTTGAACTACCTGGATCCTGACATATGTTTCACACAGGCAACATATTCCGAGGCCATGATATATGCTTCCTTATTTATTATACATTTTAGTTTATATTTCAATATGTTTCTTATCATATATAGGCCTATTATGAGGATGATATTTTATTTACCTGGCTGACATACATTACACCTTTTGTGTCTGGGCTTGTGCCATGATATCTGATTAGACAACCTACAGCTATCAATGTGTTTTCTGTCTTTATGATATAATTTTACATACTATTCATTGAAGCATTATATGAAGCATTATATTTGTTTGATGATTACCTGTAATAACCACATGGCTACATGCCTCTGAGCTCTCCTGCGTTTAAACAGGTATGCCTCCTCCTCCTGCTGGAGCGCATCCCAGGTGGACAAGGCACAGAGCATAAGCTGTTTTTTTCCTCTTTACATTTCCTTCCTCTCATTTGTTGTGGATGTGACTGGGTCAGACATTGTCTGACCCTTATATAGCCCTGGTACCTGACATTCTTGCCTAAGGTAATGAGTTGACTGGCTTCAGCTGGCATTGCAGCTGATAGTTTGTGACCACACCTGATTACATTCACCAGCTGACTTGTTGAATGATGGTGAGTTAATTGAATGATGGTGCTCATCACAGTGACAGTGGAATAGCAGGGTTACAGACCGTTCTCTAATTGCCACAAACTTCGGCAAATGACTCACTAACAATGGTAATACATGCAGAAGTGTGTGACCAAGGTTACTGTTACTGTTTTGATCAGCGAATATAATGAGACTTGGGATGTACCCATAGTAACACCAGACGCTGGCTGCTTTACGGAGCAGATCCAGCTCCAGCGGTGCCGCCGTCATCAGGAATGGACGTCGCTTCACGTGACGCTTCAGGGTAAGGCCGTCTCATGTCTCTTAAACCGACAATGCTCGCTCATCGCTCCTAGCGCTAGCTCCTCGCATTTTTTCCTAGGTGGGAGGGGCTAAACAGCTAGCAAAGTCAGCTAACAGTAGCACTAGCAGTAATTTAAGAGACTTGGGACGCACCCTGTGGGAACAGGGAAGGACTAAAGAGGCTGATGAAGACAGGTGTGGCAGAAAACAGGCGGGAAACACACAAAGACAGGAAGTAAAACCAGATATGACACATGAGGAGGGAATCTACAAAATAAAACAGGAAGCAGATTAAACATGATTGAATAACATGAAACAAGGAACACAAACAGAAAACCGAACACCCCCAGTGACTTCAGTTCATGAGAAATGCTTTTTGTTGGACTGTAAGAAAAGTTTTATACACAAATTCAAGGTAACATGTGGTCCACCACACTCTCCAGCTCCTCCTGGAGGATCCTGAGGCGTTCCCAGACCAGATGAGATCTATAATCCCTCCAGTGTGTTCTGGGTCTGCCCCGGGGCCTCCTACCAGCTGGACCAGGAGGATCCTGATC